CCCCAAAACCCCAAAACCCCAAAACCCCATGATCAGTATTATTCAAGAAAATTATCAAAATCAAAATTAATTATCAAAAATCTACTGAATCATTCAGCTTATTTTCTTCTATATTTTCAAGATCATCCCAGAATGAATCTCCATCAAAATTATCTTCAAGTTTAGTAGTTTTATGTCTTCTTTACTCATGAGTCGTTAGTGCTCCTTGGTCTTCTGACCTAATTGGGAAATTATCAGTTGCAGTCTTATTCAAAGGCATTAAATTAGTTACAGCAATTCTTACTTTACTTCTTTTACGTTAAGCTAAATGCTAATCTTTGATATCTTAAACCATATTTAAGATTGACTTTAAAACTTAGGAATTCTCCTTATTATCTCTATCTTGTTAAGGTTGAATTGATTCAATAATTCTTTTTGGATTTACAAATGCGAATTCCGTTGAAATATTCTTTTTTTATCTTTAATATTCAGTAATTAAATATTTACTAACCTGGAGTTTATCTTTTATTTATCCTATCTTTAAATTTTATCTAAATATAGTTTGATTCTTAATTATTAAATTGGCTTCTTTCTTTAAGTTACTAACAATAATTCTCATTTTTATTTCCATTTCCTTAACATGAATATTTACTAATTTTACATCCACCATATTTTATTCATTGCAGCAATTGCCAACAACTAGTTTAAGACTATTAAAGCCCTAAATGTTCTTCAAGAAGTTATCTTTCCTAACTATGTGCTCATATTCGGAATCATTAATTTTACTTTTCATTAGAGGGCCATAAACAATAAGTTAAATATTCTCATTTATATTTGTCATTTCTCGAAGCCTTGTCATAATATCTTTCATTCTTACATGAGTTTTCCCATCTCTTGAAATAACTGGCCTATTAAAAGGTTGAAGTTTTTCATAGTTATTTGAAAATGAATGTCTGAAGAAAATAAAAATATCTGTTATTTGAGAAAAAGTTAGATAGATCAATCCAAATATCAAGAAATGTAACGCATTATTCGTTTGAAAGGCATGTTTGAATTTTAATGAAACTGTGAATAAATAAGCAAATGGTAAAGCTATTAGGTTTCCAATGACAAAAAGAGTTAGACTTAAAATTAGAACTGGTAAATATGCTATTTTCATAAGAAAATCGTCAAGTTTTCTCAAAATTATTTTATCTTTAATCATTTTACCGAAGATATTGAAAGGAAAAATTATTAGATTCATTGGAGGAAATGCACAGATCATAGAGCCATAAGTCTTATCATATTTATACTAAGGAATAGCTTCGATAACACCATCATAGTAAAGGGCTAATTTCTTTTCTTGTAATATAGAAAAAGTAGTTGAAAGTATGGCTATCATCAAGTTAAGCATCAGAACCATATTGAAAATTAAGAATACTAAATGGTAGATTTTACCAAAATATGGTCCAATCTTTAGATCATCATAAATATGAAGATTCCAATCTCCAAGTGCACTTTCAATAAACATGATTATAGTATCCTAAAAATGATCATATACTTCAATCTCTCCAAACAAAAGCATACCAACACAAGCAAAAAACACAAGATTTATTATCCAGACTACTGCAAATTAACCAATATCAACTAGCATACTCTCTACGATTTTTATCAAAGGTCCGAACATTCTTGTCAATTTTAGCAAAAGCATTACTTTTAGCCATAGAAACCCAGTGTGGATTGCTAACAAAATATCAAATCTAAAGCTACCATCAGAAATGTCTTCTATTACATTTAGTATAAATATCTCATGAGTGGTAAGATGACCCTCTCCAAAATCATTTTGAAGACGAGATCTTTGCTCATTAATCGATGCTCTAATCATCCATATCATGACACAAATTGTTAGCCCTATTTCAATTATTAGATTTGCACTCATTATGCCATAATTCCTCTTAGTTAATTTGGCAAACCAGTAAGTTTGCAATATTCAACCACAAAAAAAATTCTAACTGGAAATGCATACATCAATATTGAAACATACATAGCAGTGTATATATCCTCACCAGCTTCCAAAAGTAACGAGTCTAGCTCCTTTAAATACTCTTCATGATTCCCTTCTTGATGAGTAATCAATTGAATCTCTTCATGAATTTTATGAATCAATGAGTTAAATGCACTAATGTAGTATTGGAAGAAGCATGAAAGAGCAATGAAAAAAGCTGCTTCAATAAAGTATCTCACTTGCATAGACTTTTTCCAAACACCAAATTAATAGTTATGGGATTCAAGATCCTTAATCTAGATGTTTTTGTAAAATCTATTTTCAATCTCATAATCTCGTGTTTAGTTAACAATACCATTGGTAAGAAGTCTAAAACTTGTAGAAGCCTCAAGAATATAACTGGAAAATGCTTTAGAAAACCTTATATTCAAAGAATTCAGGTAATTTCATAGACTAAATTATGAAATCTTAAATCTAACTTGTTTCCAAATTCATTAGTATGTCAATATTCCTCATATATATCTTGTAACATTGATCAAATCATGTCATTTCAGAAAAGCACTTGAATGATTCTACAATAAGGTTTTATTTTATTTCTTTAGAAACAGAAGAGTCCTCTTATATTAGAAAGATGCATTTTTTGTATTTATTAAGGATAAGCAGCTTTACTGTTCGAGGACAGTCTAAATTTAAAATGATCAAGGTTTTAATATTAAATTTTCTAAATGCGTTTGCATACTTGATATTGCTTAGTTTATCATAGTAATTTACCTTGTTTTGGACTCTTTGTTATCTTTTGATAGAAAATAAATCATCATTTGCTCTAGAAAGTCAGAAAACTTAGCAATTTTTTCAAATTTTGAATTTCTCTTCATCTACTTTGCTGATCAAACCATCTCTTAGAAGATTGTAGATCCTTTAAATTACTCATACGATTACGCAAACTTTCCACTATAGTCTACTCTTAAGCTAACTTAGCTATTGATTAGCATTTCAATACATCTATATCTGCAATCTTAAATGAGTCTAAGCATATCTAGTTTCAGTATAGTTAAGCCAAAATACTTTTTACTTGAATGATCAATTAGAATTTTCAAAATATCCTCTTTTCTCTCTATATTTGACTATATTACAGCAGATAGAGACTTATTAAAGAGAGACCTTATCTCTATTCTTGAAGATTCACATAGTTACTTTGGTTTAAATTATTCTAAGAGTTCAAGGATTCAGACTATATTCTGCTGTTCGCTCATTTTGTAAAATTGAGATTAAGCTGCTATGTTAATATGGTCGTATTAGTTTTAACTGATTAGTAATGCAAGAATTAAGACAAAATCATTTTATTTCATGTCATCTCCATATTTCTCTAATTATATCTTAAAGTCTAATTTACTTTTGCTTTCTCCATCTATTATTTTCATTATAAATATTCTTGAATCTCTATCATGAAGCTAATCTCTATATTTAGCAGATTTAGATCTATGAATTAAACTTGCGTTATTGGCGCTATAATATGTTGCCTAGTTAGAATTTCTAATAGTATCCTCTACTGAAGAGATAATGTAATTGGGACTCTTGAGCGAGTAGGAGTTATTTAGAATAATATCTTCTTCATTCAAATTCGAGGACTTGTATGAACTCTAATCACGGTTGATTCTCATCTAAAATTGATTAATTAAGCTATTAATTATCTGATTTTTAAAGTAATTGCTAAACATAAAATATTCAAATTCCAGTATTTCAAATCATATAATTTACACTGAAGTTCTGTTTATTGGATAAACGGGGTTTTGGGGTTTTGGGG